ACGAATTTATTTTTACTTTGTACTTCCGAAGTTTAATCTAAAATCTAGTTTCCATGATTTTATTTTTAAATTCAAATAACTTTTACGGTTAAACAGATAGGTTTGGTACAAAATAGGTATTGAGGTCCTCGACACCTCTGCTAGCTTCGATCCATCCGTCATGTGACACACTGTTCATATATTTTTATTATATACTAGCGGACCCGACAGACGTTGTCCTGTCTACGCGTCTTTAATTTGAAAATTTCAAACGTTTTTTAATAATTTTTTTGATGAAAATTATTATTCAAATTGTGAATTTAAACCATTCCCAGATCCCCTTGAACACACACAAAAAATTTCATCAAAATCGGTCCAGTCGTTTGAGAGAAGTTCAGTGACATACACACTCACAAAAGAATTATATATATAAAGATGTATTTAGATTTTTTGAAATATACTTGATTTTATAATCAAGTATTTTTTTCTTTTATAAACTTTTGTAACCTAATAAAATATTGTAAAGCTATAAATAACAAATTTAAATTTTTTTTTGTAAATTCCTTCATAACTTCATAAGTTATTATAGTTCTTATTATGAACGAATAGTGGGAATATTTAAGTTATACTTTGCAATAAATGTATTAAATTTCCTGTTAAATATTTAATAAATTAACACTCGAGTTATTACGAAATAGGAGTAATATTATTGAAGTAAGTGCGGCGACGGCGATCGCAAGCAGCCACGCGACGCGTCATTCACATAGAAAGCTTTTTCAAAGCTCTGCAAGGTCTTTTAAGGGTAGTTGGTTTATAAATTTTATTTATCAATAAATGTTAAAGTATATTATCGTACATTGGACTACTATTATAGATTCGAAAGTTTGCATATTTATGGGTGTGTGTATGTTTATTATTATGTATTACACAATGACACATAGGCAACTGTTAGTCACCAAGGGAAACTCCTGAGCGAAGCGATGGTAAGCCGATAGTTGTTTATATATTTATAGTACCGCAAATAATTTGTCAAGCATTGTTGCAAGTTTAGTTGAAAGAGTTTGTAAGTGTACTCTTGGGACCTTGTCCCTCATGAAGATTGATGGTTCCGTTAAGTCGACAATCTTCGCATTGTTCTCTTATTTTCTACTACTAAGAAAGTTCGATTGACGTTTGTTTCCAAAGTTTTAAATTGTAGGTGATTTGATCAAGTCTTACAATTTACACTTTTTATTTAATAAGAACGGAAATATTTATTTTCCTACAAGAAATTTCCGTGAGGAAGGGAGGATATTTTTCTAAAAGTTTGGGATTTAAAAAAAATGAGGAAGGTATTTTAAATAAAACTATCTTTTCGGATTTTGTCGCGGATTTATTTGGATTTTTGTTTCCCGACGTTTCGAATGCTTTACAGCATCCATGGTCACGGGAGAGACTGAGGTGTTACATGTCTTGAATGTATAGTTGTTACAGACAGCCTACCCACAATTAACAAAATGAAAATTGCACCAATTACATTACAATATTTTTTAACTTTAAACATTTTTATAATTTTAATTATAATTGAATATGGAAAATTATTTATTTAATTTTGCTATTATTTTTATAATTATTACAATTTTAAAATATTAATTAGTAATCTATATTTAGTGTTGCCATTATTATATTTATAACCATAAAGAAAAATATAAAATGTAGTATTAATTATTAAAGCCATATAATTGTTCTATGTGTAATTTAAAAAGTTAAAATTAATTAAGGATAATAATTTTAATTTAGTTTGCTATTATTTAAAAACAACTTACTAAGCAACACTATTAATATATACTTTTACAAATGAAAAATGAAAAATATTAGTCTTATAAGCTGTCATTTTGATCTACACAGTATGAACTTACTACATCTGCCTGTCTGTTATGTTTGTACTTATTATTTGATTTTATTATATTAATAACAGGATCCCATGACGATGGTAGTACCCAGCCATCTTCCCTATTGAAATTAGGATGTTTTTTAATTTCTATGGCTTCTCGAATCAAAATCCAAATAAATCCGCGACAAAATCCGAAAAGATAGTTTTATTTAAAATGTCAAATATTCGCGTAAATCTAAGAAAGTATAATGAGGAAGGTATATAACCTAACCTATAAAATAAAAGCCAAATTATTCAAAGTTGATCAATAAGGCAAAAAAGAGCAAACAATTCAAATTATAAAACATTCACCAGTCTTCAAATATACAATATTTCTATTCCACTCCTAAATAGGAATATTATATACAATAAAATATGTATGTATTACGAGTACCACCGCTGTTGTTTACACAGAATTTGCTCTGCAGCTGTGCGCTTTGCTATTGTAACGAGTAACAAGCGCCACTAGCAGTTTTCCAAAAGCTGACGTTAAAGCTTATTAGCGTTCTCGCCAATAAAAAGGAAACAAATAAAATTCATGCTGTAATTTTATTCAATATTTTAGTATTTAATAAAATCTTATACGCAATAAGTTCCTACATATTAAATATTGTAAATATTTGTTGAGTAATAAGGAGAGAAGCTATGACGTCACGTCCTGCACATGTCATTTTTCTATTAAAGATTTTATATAAAAGATAAAAGTGATATTTTTCTTTTAGATGACTATTAATTATATATAGACCTTCATCTATACATATGTATAATAAAATTCTAACTGAGCCGAATCTGTATATGAAATATTTTTTGGAAAATCTTATTGAAATAGACATTATTATTAATACAGAGGCCGAATCGATAGTTTTTAGAATTTTTGTCTGTCTGTCTGTTACCGTATCACGGAAAAACCATGAGAGGGTTTTTGATGAAATTTGGTATGGTGATAGCTGGTTATCCGGGTCAACATATAGGATACTTTTTACCGCGGGAAAATGTCTCATTACTGAGAAAAATATAAAAACAGCAATGTAAGTGTTCAGCCTGTTTTAACGTCCCACTGCTGGGCACGGGCTTCCCAACAGTGCGAGAAGAATCAGGCTATAGTCCACCACGCTGGCCAAGTTCGGATTGGCTTTTGAAAACTTGCTAGGTTCTCTCAGACATGCAGATATCCTCGCAATGTTTTCCTTCACCGTTAAGACAAGTGGTAATCACGTTGGAAATGATTCGCATATGAAAATATCAGAGGTATGAGACCCGGGATTTGAACACGCTTCACTCGGTTTCCCAAGCGAGCGCGTTGCCACTGCAATGTAAGAGTATACTAATATGTAAAACATAAGAATTTGGTTATTCACTATCTGAACGCGGGCGGAGCCGCGGGCAATGCTAGTGAACAATAATTCTTACAAGATGTTGTGTGAAATAGTGTCAAATTGAAATTAAAATTATACGTACTTCAATATTATTGATCATATTTCGGGCATTAAGCAATATTTATGAAGTCTTATAAACAAGAAAAAGCTCTCCCTAGGGGTGAAATAATTACCTTCAACTTTCCAGGTTATTTTGAAGTTGGTGTAACTTTTTAGTTTAAAAGTGATTACGAATTCTAAAGGCTTTTACGACTAAGGAAATAAAATAATAATTTATTAGAAAGTGTTATTATTTTACTTAATACCACCTTTCAGCACGGTACGTAGTGGTATTTACTCACCAAGGAGTCAAAACTTGTGAATCAATGTACATATCGCTCGAGAAAGATATTTTTGTTTCAAATGATTGTTAAAGTGAAAAATTAGTTATTTTTGACGGAAGAATTTTTAAAGTTCCTATAGCCTTTATAACATACTCGTATAAATAAAAATAATATTTTAGATAAATAAGCCAGTAGCTCGAAGAAGATATTTTTGGAAATTAACTTTTAAGTGTAGGTAAGATACCTAAGTATGTATTAAGTGAAAGTAATTATGTCTGTTTATTAGTGAAATTTAAAAACGCTACATAGAATTAGACACATCAAAAACATAAATGTGAAAATGGGAGCCAAGTTCAATATTAAGAATATGCGTGGTTGTCGACTTCGCGAATAAAAGAATTGAGAACTAAATGGGTGCCAAGTTCTTTAGATAATCCTGAAATTTATCCATATGAGCATACAACATTCTAAAATAAATTTAAAATACAATTTCTGCGTCAGTGTTTGGTATTTTAAAATGGACATTCTTTAAACAACCGAATTATTTACACAAAGTAGATAACTTAGGATAAATTGAAGGTCAAGATTTGACTGGGGTAGTTTTTACTAGTAAACCAAATTTTTACATGTAGAACTTACAATATAAAAATAGTAATTTGCGTATAGCATAAAAAAGATATATACGTTTAGTCAAATATAAAATAACTTGTATTAAAAACTAGCCAAGTCAAACCTTAAACTTTAATTTATCCTAAGTTATCTACTTTAAGAAATAAAAACATGAAGTATTAAGTATTAATTTTATTATTTTTCACTTCCTCTGTAATGTATTCTATCTCGAGCGAGAGAATCTCGCCGAGTGAGACTTCTTTAGAATCATTGTGATTTGAGACTCAATGAAAGGAAAATGCGACACTAATAAGAGACCAACATATAAATATATAGGATTAAGCCGGCGAGAGAATGAGATAGAATATATTACACAGTATGTGCAAAATAATAAAAATGATTTATTTCCCTTTTGTATAACTTAAGTTTTTTGTACTGCATGTACCGATTGTAGATATCGTTTTTATTATATTTTTGGCGATCAGAAGGGAAAAAGAAATAAAAAAAAGAATACTTTAAACAATCTAAAGGTACTTTATTTTAGAATAGACTTAATTTTAATAACATTTTAATAAATGATCAAAATTCTAGAAATCACTTACAACCGTTAATATTCAAAATAAGAAGCGCATAAATAAAACCACTATACAACAAAATATGGAACGAACTTACTGCAAGGTAGCGTGGGCACCGACACTATTACTGTCTGACGACTGAGCAGCAAATGACCCGTACTATAGCGAGTGCTCGTTTTTATACTAATTGGTGGGTACCACCACTACCAACAATAAGTTTGTCTCACACGGCCACTCCTGAACGTGCGCCGTCCTCGGCGGCACCTGGGACCTCTTCATCGGAAACAGCAGTAGAGGTGGCGACCGTTTGACCGCCGTTTTTGTTTGTTTCGGTCCCGTTCGTACTCAAAACATTAGTGGGATCAGCATAGTCGTAGAGCACACCGTCAGGGTTTTCGTCATTGCAGCCTGTATGGGGAACAAGTGGTTAGTTATACGTGGCTAAATCCACCTACGCCTATCCTATCATTCATCACGCATACAAGGCCCTCATACAAACATACACACTTTCACAATCCACGTTAAATCACTTTGATTTTAGAAGTATGCATACATCTTCACACATCAAATCTCACTCACACTCATATTTGAACTTGTACAAGTTCACACGTTAAAACGTATCAAACACCTGACGCGTGTTCAGAGAACACGACTTCCGGGATAATACCCGATGCGCATACATAGTACGCGTCTTCCGGGACAACACCCGATGCGCATACATAGTACGCGTCTTCCGGGACAACACCCGATGCGCATACATAGTACGCGTCTTCCGGGACAACACCCGATGCGAATGCACAGTATGCGTCTTCCAAAGCCAGGCACTTCACGAGCCTAGCTTTGATAACATCTGGGCTGCACCAACCACCCGTTCTGACCAGTAAGGCAAGCACCTGCCTCACGCTCGTACGCACGCGCATACAACATTCGTACAACTAGAACATAAAAAAAATATCACAATATGGTTTGGTTGAAACTTACTTTCAAAAAATGCAGCGCAACTCTCAGGACACCACTCGCCTTTCCAGGGCACCATATACTGAGCTGCGGCCTGAGTTGTCTTGCCTCTAGCTATACACAATACAACAATTTTAACTCGTAACGGTCATTTGGTAACACTTTAGTTACACGGTATGGACCCCTCATGCCCGGGTCAAGCTTCCCTGTGGACTGACAACACTTTATTACAAACACTTGTTCGTTAACCTGGAAAATTCTTGGCGGGTGTCTTTGACGATTTACTCGAACATCTTGGGTGGCTTGATTCTTGTCAAGAGATTCTTTGGCAGATCTCCTGCTGAGCTCCCTCATGGCTTCTCGATTTGGACTGGAGTGTTCGACGGCAACGTCACGGATCAGCGCACGGATCACAGGAGTGGTCGCGTTGGTACCAATTAACAGGTACAAAGCCGAGTACTGAGTGGTTTTTTGCTTCGTGATATTTAAAGTTAATTGAATTTTACAAAGACTATCTGACCATGTGTTATTTTTATTACTACTCTCGACTCGAATCATATTAAGGATGGTTCTCACATAACGCTCTACTTGCCCATTTGAGTGATGCATCTCGGGCGTTATGTAGTGGATTTCGCAACCCATTTCAGTTACCCAACTGGTAAAAGTGGACGCCTCAAACATGCGACCACGGTCACAAACTATCAGTTTGGGTGTTCCAAATAAAGATATAGCACTATCGAAAACTCGTTTCAATTCGTTTGCATCTTGTCTGTATATAGGATAGAGTAAACAAAATTTGGTAAAAGAATCGACCAAAACTAGTACAAATTTATATCCGTTGGACTCTGGTAATGGGCCTAGTGCATCAACATGGATCGTGTTGAAGGGAATGTCTGACTTTTCCCACGAAGTAATAGGTTGTCGAGGAGCTCTTGGAACACGTTTCTTGGAAATGCAGATTAGACAGTGGGAAGTATACTTTTTAACAAATTGTTTTAGACCAGGGAACCAGAAATGTTTTAGGATAAGGTCATAAGTTTTATCAGCCCCGATGTGCTCATGCTCGTCATGAAAAACGCGTAATAAACTGAGCCGGTGCCCTTTAGGGATATAACATAGTAAGCGCGGCTCCTCGCCAACAGGTGTGTAGCGATAATAGAGCACATCGTTCTGACACACATACCGGTTAGGGTCCAGGAGACCATCTCTCAGTTTTTGGATGAGATCAGTAGTCTCGGAATCGGCTGACTGGGCCATTTGTGCCCAATTCAAGGGTCTAACAATGTTATTGACTTGCAACGGTGGCGGGTTTCTGCTTAGATAATCCGCGTGACCCATCATCACGCCCTTTCGATATTCAATCTCAAAATTAAAATCCTGCAGATAAATCCACCAACGTGCAACCCGTGGCAGCAGATCTTTTTTACGTTCAGTGGCCCTCAAGGCATTGCAATCGGTCACGACTTTAAAAGTTATCCCGATCAAATAATGACGGAAGTGTTGCAGTGCCTTGACGACCGCTAACGTTTCCAATTCATACGAATGGTATTTTGGCTCTGCCCCTTGAGTGACTCTACTAAAATAGGCTACCACCCTTTTACCACCGTCGACATGTACTTGCATAAGTATGGCACCGTATCCTGCACTGCTGGCGTCAGTGTGCAGCTCTGTCGGAAGGCTTGGGTCAAAAATTGCAAGTATGGGCTCGCTAGTTAACCGGTTTATAAGATCTTGTCGGACTTGATTTTGATCAGGTCCCCATTCGAATTTTACGTCCTTCTTTGTGAGACGCGAGATACATGCAGTTTTTGTCGCATAACCTTCGATATAACGTCGGAAGTAACCCGCAAGACCTAAGAACTGGCGTACCTGTCTGACATTATTAGGGATGGGTGCGTTAACTAGTGCCTCGATTTTGTGCGGACTCGGCCTTACCTGACCGTGGCTAATAACGCGACCAAGGTACTCTACTTTCGTAGTAAGAAAGAAACACTTGCGCACGTTAATTGAGAACCCGGCTTCCGTCAAAGTCTTCAAAACATCACGTAACAAGGCGACGCCATCATCAATTGTTAAACTTAGGATCAGCACATCATCAATATACACTAGAACACTCCCTGCTTCTATAAATTTACGCAAGGTATTATTGATGATACGCTGATACACAGTGGGAGAATTACATAGGCCATATGGCATTTTTAAATACTCATAGTGAGCTTCCGTGGTTACAAAGCCTGTTTTATGGGTTGAGTCTTCATCAATAGGAATCTGGTGGAAGCCTGACGCCATGTCTAAAGACGTGAAGAATTTCGAGCTCCCAAGTCGATCAATGTGGTCATCGATCAAAGGTATAGAAGGTATAAGAGGGTATCTATCCTTGACAGTAATGCGATTTAATGCGCGAAAGTCTACGCACATTCTGTCTGAACCATCCTTTTTCTTGACCAAAATGACCGGGCTTGCGTACTCGGAATTCGACTCCCTAATAATATTTTTGTCTAAGAGATCCTGGCATATCTCGCGAACCTTAAGCTTTTCTTGGTATGACAAACGATATGGATGGTATGCCACAGGTACGTCACTAGTCAGTTTAATGTGCATTTTGCCAGTTTTAACAGTAGTGGTGGCAGTACCCGATATTAAAAACGGAGAGAATTTATCTATCGCGGTCAACAACTTAACGAGTTCTGCACCTTCGAGAGGCGTATTTATTTTTTCAAATCCGTTAAAATGCACAGCATTTACTTTTGGTACACTATCTGGCGTATGAGTTAGGTACTGTCCGTGTTTTGTGCGAATAAACGTGACGCCATCGCGATTTAATACATCAGTCCCAATAATAAGAGGCGTATTCATACATGACGCGGGTACTATAACAAAATCTACTTCGAGCGCGATATTGCTAAACTCGACAGTTAGTGTGATGTATTCTCGAGTTACTATCTCTTTATCACTTATTCCTTTTAAGGAGCATTTTATATTTTTACGCGGACCCGAAAAGTAATTCACTACCGCAGATGATATCAACGATACATTGAGTGCACCACTATCTATAAGGATATCAACCGGTATACCCTGTATCACAGCTGTACTTATATCGTTGCTATTTTTTGCGGTAGAAAGTTCGTTACAAAGATTAACTTTACGTTGATTATTACCTTGAGACTCAGTTCGAGCCTTTGCGAAACAGTCAGTCTCTTTATGTCCTACCTTTTTACAAAAAGTACAGACGGGCTTAGCATTACTGCTAGTATCAGCTTTAGCATTAATATTACGCTTCTTGGGGCATTTATCTTTATAATGCCCTGTTTGACCGCAATAAAAACATTTGTTTTCAGTTCTAGGTCCGTTAAAATTACGTCTTTTAGTCGTATTACTCGATGACGGACTTTTATCGAGGTTACGATTATCAACTTTACGAATAGGCTTTACATAAGTAGCTAAAAAGGAAACTAAGTTTTCTGTCGTTAGGTCAGCATTAATTGCTGCTGCGCGTACTTGGATATCACTAATACCGTGAACAACTATTTGAACCATTAGTTCTTCGCTTAACCCTTTTACTAAACGTAACCTCAATAAAGAACGACGAGCATACTCTGCGTACGACGAAAACTTGTCGGACGTAGTATTTATAACCTCATGAAGTATTTGTACGTAATTAATTTTTTGCGGGCACAAAGACTTAAATTCCTTAACGAAATTGGACCACGAACGATCATTTATAGCCCATTCGTTTAACCAGGTTTTTGCGTCACCTTTCAAACAATGAGCCACACGCGAGAAACACTCGAGATCATCCCAATGGTCCCCTGTCCACTTCATTACACCACATCTCAAAATTGTTTACAGCTGGATCAAAATTAGAAACATAATAACTGTTAGACTTATTTTTTGTCAATGCCCCTAACGCATTAACCAGCGCTTGCGTTGTGGAAATATTACTTTTATGTAACTGAGGTGTGGTGTCACGAATTGACGGCGTAATACGCGATCCACTAGCGGTGTTCTCCTCAATTGCTGTCAGTCGCGACATAATAGTGCCTAACACACTTTTCACGGAATCATCGCGAGGGTGGGACCGAGATCTACTACGGCGACGATGTGAGCGACTGCGACGTGGCCGCGAATGGGATGCGTCGCTACGTGAACGCGAGCGACTCCTGTCATAACGCGAACGCGAACGGTTCCTACTATGCCGTGACCGTGAACGAGTTTTATCGCGACGCGACCGAGTTCTATAGTAAGGCGATCGTGAACAATGCACACGGTCTTGTAACGGCGAACTCTCACTGCGACGGCTATCACGCCTAACGCCAGAGCGGGGTGGCGTCCTGTCTAGCCTTTTACGCGGCATTCTTAATTGAAATTAACGGCTGTTTGTGTAGGTACAAAAGCTAATAATAATTGTGAGCAAATAAGTTGGATCCCACTTCTGATTTTGGCGATCAGAAGGGAAAAAGAAATAAAAAAAAAGAATACTTCAAACAATCTAAAGGTACTTTATTTCAGAATAGACTTAATTTTAATAACATTTTAATAAATGAACAAAATTCGAGCAATCACTTACAACCGTTAATATTCACAATAAGAAGCACATAAATAAAACCACTATAGAACTAAATATGGAACGAACTTACTGCAAGGTAGCGTGGGCACCGACACTATTACTGTCTGACGACTGAGCAGCAAATGACCCGTACTATAGCGAGTGCTCGTTTTTATACTAATTGGTGGGTACCACCACTACCAACAATAAGTTTGTCTCACAATATACATATACAATGTTTGCAAAGCGTGTAACACCTATAATTAGGGTAATATTTGGACTTTTTGTGGACATTCTGTGTTTTTGATAATGTATAATATATCTGGTTGGTGTTAATAATAAATAAATAAATAACACAATTGTTCGGAATGATGTTAGATCGCTGAGTCGGCGCTGCCAGTTGTACTTTGTGTTACTATTGGCTATCTACATAAATTTCATTAGTAATCTGGTAGGTTTACAATACGATAAAAGCGACCTTTCATCATGGAACCTATTCTCCGGCAAAAAAAGTTTTTGCTGTTGCTATTATTGCTATTAGTGCTATAATATTTTCGAAGGTGCTAGGTGTTAACAAAACTTTATTTGAAAAATATTTCAAATCACAATTACCCATCTGGACGTCAAATTCCAACTTTCTAGGTCAACTTGAAGTGGGTTAGGTTTTACTACTATATGTCAGGCAGTGATAAAAATGCCAATTTTTAGCCGTTAATATCTCAAAAACTGTTTGAGCTGTATTTATGAAATTGGGGGTCCTGGTTAATCTGAGGGAATTTAATAAATGAATCAAATTTCAAGTTTATAATGAATAGATTTTGAGTTATTAAGAGGTCAAAAGTGGCTCCAAGTGGTTCGTGTAATATAAATAAAACACACAGTGCTGAGTCACCAGTTTCTTTAGCTTGAAGTTCAAGACATACATAGATAGCCACTTGGCTGGACACGCTACCGCGTATCTTGATGAAATTTGGTAAGGACATTGATTGAATCTAGGAGACATCGACTACTTTGAATCTTCGACTGGCTTAGCATTCGAGCGATTATATTATTATTCAATATACATATTATATATTTTACTATGTGTAATAAGGATATATAGTATTAAAGGCAAAGTTCAAATATGCAATATTTCTTGCTACATGTGAATATTGGAAGTGAGTTTCTTAACTTTTTCTTATGCACAAAAAGCAAAGGATATTGGAAAAGTTGAACACAGTTTTAACCTCGAACACAGTTAATAAGTACGAGAAGACGTTTGATATTTGCGTCAACGGATAGGGTTTCTTTAAAAGATTTATATTTAGTTTTAGAGTTACGTAACCTCCTGAAAAAAAATCTGTGATGTAAAAATGTACCTGATAATTTTATTAATATTTATTTATTACAGGTTACAATTTTTAAGAGCCTTCAAAATTCTTCGACTCGATTCAATTTTTCGAAAACACCTTAACAAATCTGATAATTTTAAGTTTATATTAAATTCAATCCGTAATTATTTAAGCACCATTCCAGTGATGATATATAAAAAAATAATTCATATTATATTTTGCTAAACTTTGTACTCAAAAGATAACGTATAATTTCTACTTACTTTATTGAGCGAACTCTGTCTGAGCCCGAGGGTAGATAACTCATGGCAATAAAGACAACAGTCGTAACTCGTAGCCTGATTTTTGCGACACTCATATGAAAATGTGACTTGTTTTCCTTTATTCATTTTATGTTCTTTAGAAATTTTGTAAATGATTAGGTAAGTTAAGATAATAAATTATAGTAGAAAATACTATTACATTCTAATTTTGTTTAATTGTTCATTACATACTGATGTACATCTGTTTAGGAAATAAGACTTGTTATATTCATCTATGTAGAGATCTAGAATCTTTAAACGTGGAACATCAATGAAATACTCTAGTGGAGTGAAGTGTGAAGAGTGAAGATGAAAAAATTTATATTATTTTAAAATGTATTTAAAACTGGCGACTCACAAACGCTTCGCTCGGGTTCGTCCCTAGCTTGCTTCCCAATACAAACCTTCATCCCCATTTTCACCCCCTTAAGAATGATTTCCGACATAAAGTACCCTATGTCCTTTCCAGGGTCTCAAACTATCTCCTAACCAAATTTCATCTAAATCGGTTCAGTAGATCTAGATATTACTCACTATAACGTCACAAACTTTCCTCTTTATAATATTAGTATACTTAGATAGACTGGTATGACTTTATAAAGTATAATATCCTTGAGTACCTATTATACATATATTTTAAATAAAATATTTTTCATATCAAGTTTTTATTTAAAATGTATGCCAGCGAGGCAGCGAGCAGATGTAACAGTCTCAAAGGACATGCGTATAGTTTCTAAGTAATATTTTGAAACAGCACTGAAAGCAAACTACTCACGTGAGAGCCGAGCGCCGAGCGCCGAGCGCCGAGCGTCGAGACGTGCCATGCATGCTTTCTTCTTGTTGACCTGTGCGCCGCATTTTCAAAGGACATTAATTAGCTAGCTCTGTTTTATGGCCGCAGTTAAGCAGATGTTGTTTCTTATGAAATTGTAACAGAATTTTCCATATAAACTAGTACGAGTATATACATAATTCACAAGCTAAAAAAATAAGAAAATGATTTTTCATCATTGAAAATAATAAGCGCAAGGGCCAAGGCCCTTAATTATCTTAAAATAAACTTCTAACACGTTTGGCTCTGTGTGTAGTGACCCTACTTGCTGTGCCACCGGTCGCAGGTTCGAGTCCCGCTGGAGGCATTCATTTGTGTGATGAGCACGAACGTTTGTACCCCAGTCATGGTTGTTTATATTTATAATATGTATGTATTTAATATATATGTGTGGTGTATCAACTATCTGGTATCCATAACACGAGCCTCGTAGCTTCCAATGGAACTAGATGGTGCTGTGTGTTAATGTCCCAACATACTTATTATATTTATTTATTTAAATATATATTATTTTACATTTATTAATAACCATGGAATATTAAACTCCCTTAGTTAGACAGACTCCAGACCCTGGCTATATTCAATACTAACTTATTCAAATTTACCAATATACCACGGAGACTACACTTCTTTTGCTTTAATTAAATTATTTTATTCGACTGATAAAGATAAATGGTTTAGCGAAGCACTCAAGGAAACTACTGTAAGGTAACTAATTGTACCAGCAGGCTGTAAAGAAATACGATTGAAAGTTCGATATATATAAACTAGGTATACATACTGTTTATTATGTATACCTTATTGTTTGGCTTTTGAGTGTTTTACTTCTCTCATCTGATAAATCTATATAACATAATACCACCAATATGTTTTGAAAATATTATATAATAGCTTACTAGACTGTAAAAAATATCATAATCAACACAATGATGTGATTTCAATTCTTGCTTTATTATTTTGCACTTTATCCCAAGCATAACATTTTAATGAATGCTTCTATTTGGATAGCTTTTTGCGTCTGGTGATTAAATGCCCGAGTTGCTATAAAAAGGATTTTTTTAGTTGTAAACAACTTATTTTTTCAGAGTTGGTTAGGTTGACAAAATTGAAATATAAATAAAAGTAAAAACTTTTTTTATAAAATAAATCTATGACGTACGTACTACGTATATATTATGGACATGATGTGCATTAGGTATATGTATATATATGCTCGTAGTTGCCTCGCTCCGTTTATGCTCTACTTATACCCGACTAACACAATACAAATTCGCTTACGACCAATTAATTAACATCTTTATTTCGATTACTTACAAGATAGAAAATGGATAGGAGCTTGTAGTAGTTATGTCAAATGTAATTCTGTGGTAGGTCCGAAATACAAGCTATAATTTTGGCCGAAAGAAGTCTCGATTTTTTCGATGATGTTATCAATGTTATTATCGATTTAAATATAATATATAGAGTCCTGCGGCTCCGCCCGCATAGTACGTTAATCACCAACATATCATATACCTTCTCCGAAACACGCTGCATGTTATGGTATGAGTATTATTCCGATCGGTTCAGTAGTTATCGCAGTATAACCGATCAAAAAAGTCGGCTCTCCATTTATTAGCATAGATATTGTTTGAATTAATTTAGAAAACGTTCATTTATTTTTATACAAAATTAGAATATCGCTATCAATCGGAAATGCTCTATATCAATAAAAGATATAAAACAATTTTAAAAAGACCATATAATAAAATAATTATTCTCTTACATAAGAAAGAGGTTTAATAAATACTTTAAAATTGTTTGGACAGTTCACCAGTAACGAAATTGATGGCTTGACTATTTGTATAGTTGATTTTTGTACAAATATTTAAAAAATATAAATATTATGATATACTTTCACTCGACCCATTCTTTTGGGATGTTAGGGTTTACGACCTATGTGGATCCGGCTGCATTATTAAGGCGACCTTTATAAAGCTTATCTATTTTTTGGAGCTCTTTGTACGTGTGAATGTATGTAAAACGTATTTATGGTTGGGATTAAGCTTCTAAAAGTATAGCTATATCAGGGTATAAGTAGCTATGAGAAATTTTTACGTCATAGTCACATCACGAAAATTTGTGTACACACTGTAACGGCTGTACGAATTTAAAGGAAATTCGGGATGGGCTTATAGTACAAACTAGTATTTTTATAAACCTATCGAACTGGAAATTAAAATAACCAAAATATTTTTATTTGAAATAATAAAAATGTAATCTTATAACTACGACTAGCATTGCCCGCGGCTCCGCCCGCGGTTAGATTACTAAAAATCCAAATTTTTAGGTTTTACATAATATTAGTATACTCTTACAATGTAGTTTTTGTATTTTTTTCTGAGAAATGATATATTTTCCCGCGGTAAAAAGTATCCTATACGTTGAGATTTTCCAAAAAAATATTTAATGTACAGATTCGGCTTAGTTACAATTATATTATATGTATAGTTATATTTTGAAAGTCTTCGAATTTTGCTGTATATACTCGTAGTATGCATTTCACTGGTTAACTGGGCTTTAAAAAAAATTTAGTGACTATCTAAATTATTGTCTTGACATTCTTAAAAAAGATTTACATAGATAATACAAATATCTTTTAGAATGTATTTTTATATATTCTAAAATGTAAAAGCTTACATATAAAATACCCATGCATTTTCATTTCTAATTAATAGATTCATTTGATGCAAATGTTGAAATATAGATGATTTGTTAGTTAAAGTTAACATATGATGATGGCGAGGCATACATTTTTAATCTACAAATATTTATGAAACTGTCATTTAATCAAACCCATGGAGTCCCCTCTACGAGCTACGAGGGATGTTGACTTAGTCTAATTGAAGCCGGACTGCGACACAGTAATGAATTGATTCTATATATCATAAGTATGCATAACTCTTAATCAGTTCCTGTTTTATTTTAGAACACACTTTGTTAATGAAATATGTTATCTCATTAACAAACCATTTAGCATTATGAGTTCATTATTATACGATACCTAATTGGAATATTGTGTTTTGTTAAAAGTAAGTGACGTAACCAATGCTATGCAATAATTACAGTTCTTATATAAAGTAAGATATTTCATTATATTTAAAAGATTTGCTTCATCGCTTTTTAATCGAAAAAAATAGCATATTATGATATTAATTTCGCCTGCTACTGGGTCACTTTATAAGTCGTTTTTCTGCTATACATTATCCTATATCGCTGTCATCCAAGGCTTCTATCCACCAGTGAAAATCTTGTTAAAATCAGATCAGAAAATCTAAAGATTACCTGGTATTATCAATATTTTTAAAGGTTTGTTTTGTTGGGTGCGCTTCCTTTAAATAACTAGGTATATGTGCGTGATACATAATCTCTGAAAATTTTGTTTTTTATGTATAAGTATATAACTTAATGGATACCATAAATCTTAACAAGTATAGGAGAACTCAAAGTTATATTAAAATTTCAAGTTAGAATGATAAAGGCTTGCCGCCAGACGCAGACGACTACCTATCACAATTCGCAATGAATCACTTCGCGGTGGCAGCTACGAGTAGCATCCATTACTAAACCGCAGACTATATTACAAATGAATCACACTAATTCATTATTAGATATTACTGCAATGCATAGGTGTGGTCGATTTCTTCAATAAATTGTTCTGAATTTGATTTACCTTTTTTTGAGAATTGGCTTTTCTTTATTTATAACTAGTGGCTCACCCTCGCTTCGCTCGGGTTCGTCGCTAGGTACGATTTAAATAGATATAAATAGTTATTAGCCAGCTTTAGCCATATTTAACATTGTTAATAATATTGACATATATTAACATTAATATTTATACGATACTAACTTCACTCTATTGTTTTGCCTTCCCGGAACCTCTCCACTAACACTTAAACTTTATGGTATGGTATTAAAGTTCAAATTGACTTTTAAGTATTATTACGAATCGTTTGTTTGGGAGTATAGAAAAGTGTTGTTTTTAGACTTTTTCAGGCTTTTTTTAAAACTTTTCTCTCCGTAAGAACCATCCTCGTACTTCAAGGAATATTCTAAAAAAAGAATGAGCGAAATCATTTCATTTTTATATTATAGATAAGTCCCCTATATCTTATAATGAATGTAGATTGAGCCAGAGTCTATAAATAACATTTACTTAATAAGGATGTCGAATGTAACGCAAAAACATAATTACACTTTAATATATATTCATACATAAATTGTAGGGTCTGTTATTCTCTGACTACCGAAATATAAGAAATATAACGTGAAGTTGTAATATTTATATTTATATTTTAAATTTATGATGTAGATTTTGAGCTTATAATATGGTTATTTGCACGATAACAAGCCCTGAGATTCTTTAAAAAAATTGTCTGTTTGTCTGTACTTCAGAATCGCTGAATTGATTTTAACGAGGCTTTTGCTGGCGGGTAGACAATTATATTTAGGGCGATATGGACTATTTTTTATATTATAGACTAAAATAATGTAGAAGATGCATTAATTATAAAAATAACTTTACAACTATCAAAGAACACGGGATTACATCATTGTTCGACTTTTCATTTCGTTAGTATTTAAATTTGTTGAAAACTTTAAAAAGAATGACAAGTTGCAAATTATGGCCCTTTTCTTTTTATTAGCGTGAACAACTTGATGAATATTAATTCAAAGGATGTTTTGATTTTTTTTCTTAAAATTTATTTGCATTAAGTTTCCTTGCTTTGCAAAGTAGATTTAATTTTTATATAAATTATCTAATATATAAATAAGTGTCTGTGTCCCGGTGTTTGTGGTCGCACTCCTCCGAAACGGCTCTATAGATTTTAATGATTTTTTTTGTATGTTTGGTAGGTATGAGAATTTCACCCTCCATTTTTTAATCGTGATTTTAGTATTTTTGTATGAAAAATATCCAAAAAAAATAATATTATATAAATACACAGGGACGAACCCGAGCGGAGCGGGAGCGATTCGCTATAGTACAACATAAAGCA